GTGCATGCAGTGGGACGTGACCATGCAGCCCCTTTGGTGTCTGTAACTCATGTGTGACCGGGCTCCTTTTGTGAGTGCTGCTAGAAATACTAGGTGTTTTATGAATGGTTACCTATGTGTGTCTCTCTGGGAAGGACGGATATCACACTTTTGACAAAAAGACTTTCAAAATTGATTGACAGTCAAGCCTGGCAGGAGCCTTTTTTTTTTGTTCCATGGGAAATTCCAGAAAAGAAAAAAAAATCACTTTGCTATATGTAAGAGAGGGACTCCCAACTGAAGTGGGGCGGGTATTTCCATGAGAGGTTTGCTAGCTGTGACTTATGCTGACCACAGCTCCTGAAGAGGAGGCTGTAAGTGGGCATCAAAGCTATTTCATAGAATCATAGAATAGTCTGGGTTGGAAGGGACCTTTAAAGGTCATCTAGTCCAACCCCCTGGCCATGGGCAGGGACATCTTCAACTAAATCAGGTTGCTCAGAGTCCCATCCAGATGCTGGAGTCTTGGCTGTGTGGGTTTTACTATCAAGCCATCTACTTTGACTCATACCTCAACTAGATGTATTTCATCCACACCTTCTCCACCATCAAATCTGCTGTGCTCATGGCCGTAGCTTTTGACCTCTTTGTCATGATCTGCAGCCCCTGAGGCATACATCCCTCCTGACAAACTCCCTGGTCACCAAGACTGGTATGGGGTTGACCATCCAGGCAGTACTTCTGGTGTTCCCGGCCTCCTTTCTCCTGAAGATGCTGCAATGTCACTGGGTAAATGGTCTCTCGCACTCTCTTGTCTACACCACACATCAGTGTGGCCCAGTCACATTTATGTGACATTTATGAGACAGCAGCATTTATGGCTTAAGTGTTTGCTCTTTCCCCAATGGCTTCAGACTTATTGTTACTTGTCCAGTTGTACATCATGATCCTTAAGACTATCTTGAGTATTGCATCCAAGAAGGAACAGTCCAGGGCCTTGAACACTTGCATCTCCCATATCTGTGTTGTCCTAATCTTCGACATCCCAGTGATCGGTCTGTCTATCACTCACAAGTTTGGGAAAAAAATGCTTCTCCTATTGTTCACATCCTCATGGCCGACACCTGCTTGCTGGTCCCACCATGATGAACCGGACTGAGTACAGTGTGAAAACCAAACAGATCTGTACCCGTACCACCAGAAAGCTGCAAGGAGCCAGATGTGACCCCACAGTCATGGTGTGAGCTGCATCAGAGCTGAGGGGTCTGACTGTGATTGCACGGGTGGGTAGGTAAAGCCTTGCAGGTGGCAGTGGAGTCACACAGCTCAGAAAGGCAATGAGAATTAAGTTAAAAGTTTAAAGGCAAACTCATCACCCAGTGCCAACTTGAATAACTGCTAAGACTTGGGCAATAAAATTCCAGTTGAAAAGTGTGCCATTTTTATGGTCAGACGTGGCTTCTTGCATTGCGTGCATAAGATGCTATTAATTAGAAGAAATGCATATAACTAAGTGATGTAACTGCATAAATATTTTAACCAAACATAATTTCCTCTATTGATTTTCCTCTTACAATAATGTCTAATGGAGAATGATGTTCTGTCCTCTTTCTTTGGTAAAAAAAAAAGGAAGGAATAAACACTTCAATGAAGTTTAAAATGTTGCAGCAGAGTACTGGATATATCCACCAATATTATGCTAGGAATATCAGCAATTTTTATCAGTTAATTAGGGAACACAGCCATCACAAGGATCGGAAAGGGGTTATCAGTAAGAACAGTTATTCTCAGTGGGTACAAAGGAGAGTTGAAGATTAACCAGAAAAAGCAAATGCAGGCTATCACGAGATAGGCAGTTTTCACAACCAGGTCTGTGGGTCTGCAGAGGAGCTGACAAGGGAGGTCCTCGAGGTGGAATTCCTGCTGGATGAATCATCTCAGAGAGACCAGATAAGCTGTGAGACACACCACAAGGATGGGTTTGCCACAGGTCTACCAGGGTTTCATGTACAAAAGTAAAGGTGTATGTCTGCACCATGAGCCTGGTGTTTCCAGGGCATGCCAAACCCTGCTGCCTGTGCACAGGATGGGCTGTCAGCCCACGAGCAGAGAGAACTGGGGATCTTCTTTCCTCAGTAATACATGCATTATTAATCCATGAATTTATTGTGTATTTCTATTTTTATGTAAACAAACAAACAGGGTTTGGAGCAGGAAGGAGTTAATTCATATTCTATTCTATTCTATTCTATTCTATTCTATTCTAATTTTGCTGCCTGGCACTCAAAAGTCCCATTCCACCAGCATTTATACCCATTAGGCTATGGTGCGAGCTCATCAAGTTTTGCCTCCAGACACCTTTCTGAGCAAAGGCTCTGCATCTGCCATCTCCTGGCCTGTGCCTTGGGAAGGCTGAACCATACTTCACACTGGTTTTTCCTCAAGACCCGAGCTGATGCACGGCTTTGTGGGACAGATACAGTAGTAAGGACAAGACATACATGGTCAAGACCCAGCCTTGAAGAGCATTAGTGGTCTACTAATTGCATGCCTTCAAGGGATGGAGGAATTCCTCAGGCTCTGGTTGCTCAGGGGCACTTTCATTTTGGCCATGTTGGACACTGAAGGCAGAGGTGGATTAACACACAGAGGTCTCTGGCTGATCCTCACGGATCTATGAATTTCAGGGAGTTGTTGTATCACCCCGAGTTCCCTGCTGTGATCTAGCCCTGCTCATCACACAGCCCTACCTTATGTGACCAATCCTGCTTGTCCTAGGACCGTGAGATTTCTCATTACCATGCTGATGGCGACTGGGGAGTTTCTTGTGTCTGCTTCTGTTGGGGATGGTGAAATGAAGGATTTTCTGGTCCACAAGTGGGAGACACTTCCAGACTGAAGTCAGGTCTGGCCCCAGCCCTTCCCCATCCTAGCAGAGCTTCAAAAATGTCTCTGGGAAATGTGGGCTGCCCAGGGATGCTTGGTGGTCCCAAATGTGGGCTTCCCTCCTTCCCCTCCCAACACACTCTGCTCCAGGTGCTTCTCCTGGCCCCATGACCCGCTGCTCCACCTTCTTTCCACCTACCCAGCCCCAGGCTGCAACACCTCCAGAAAATTGCCAGAGCTGCCCTCTTTTCTCAGAAGCCCTCCGTCACCTGCAGACATGATGTAATTCTCTGTAATTCTCTGCTTCAACTCTCACCCCACAAATGGGAGGAATTTATACTGGGTTTTTTGCCTTCCTTTGCCTTTTTTGCCTGTTGGACAATGTCTCTGCTCAGCAATATTGCAACCGAATCAGAAACCAACAGGGACTGATGGGACCTGCTGGGCAGGAAAGCAAGTGTTCTTTCTGACACAAGCCTGCACTCGGCTGTGTGTGAGCAATCCTTGTCCCCGGGCAGCATTGGGGTCCTGGGGTTTGGGACAGGTAAGGAGCATGTCCCAGCTGCAAAGCCCCTGGCTGGCTCTGGCTGCTCCCTGCAGCGATGGAGCCATGGGCTGCCCATGTGGGTCATCCTGCAAGTGGAAATGTGCACATGGCATGGCAGCATTTTGTGATATGGCAGCAAAAGCCCCAAAACCTTTTAAAACCCTTAAGCGCCAATCATCTGGAGCTGCAGATCTCTGAAAGGTCCTGTGCTTATTGTTTTAATGCCTTCTTTTGAGACTCGTGGAGGGAAAATATTTCATCATTTGCATCTGGCTTTTTCCTCAAGGCAAACATTTCCTGAACATTTCTACCCTGACCGACAGATTCACTGTCCATATAGTGACCGAGTAATTTCTTAATTCTCTTTTTTCAGTTATTGCTTAAAAAACCTCTTTCTTAAGTCCTTCTTTCTCCTGGTTATGGATTTTTCTGTGTGGAAAAAAAAAACCCTGTATGAATTTCCCACACTTGCTACATTAGTATTCATACTAATCCCTATCAACTTCCCCTTTCTTCCAGTTTTCGTATTTTTTACAGCTGATTCACCTTCCTGTGTAAATCAAAGAAAGAAAAGTGTATGTGTCTGTGTCTGTCTGTCTGTCAGCTCCCACGAGCTCTTAATTTTCTGGTTATTTTCTACCAAGTCTGACAGAGACGGAACAATCATGGGGATATCAAGAGCCTCCAGGTTTAATGAGAACAGTCAGGTCTCTGGAGACGGGAGATCCTGCCAGTGACAGGCATAAGGTAAGAGTCTGGAGGGGCAGCTCAACCCACTGCTCAGCATCGGGAGCTACGTGGGATGCAGAGCAGGGGAGGACAGACATTGATGTTCCCATTGTGCAGGGAGTGACGTGCTCACCTACGTGGTCTTGAATGTGGCTCTTGGGAAGATGCAGAACGTTGAGCCACAAACCATTTTATAATAATTCACCCCATTTATTAAAACTTCTGGTTTTAGTTTTGTTTTCCTGAAAAAGATCTCATTTGGGGGCAGATCTCCAACTATTACGAATTAGCAAAAATTCAGTGGTGCAAAGGGAGCAGTGCTGAGTCTTGGAAGTAGGAAAGACCAGTAAAAATTAAAGGATTGACTATGTTTATCTAGCTTGCACTGAAGGGGTCAGAGAAACCTGAACAGTAATTCCTGCATTTAGTCCAACACAATATGTTTTTCTCAGCTTATACCTAGGAAAATGTTTGATATTTTCTGAAAACTTTGAGATACAAGATACAGAAACACGCACTCAATGGGGAGCTGGACATGGCCGTGTCCAAGCAGAAGATATGCATCTCATCACCATGTAGGTCCAACCAAACCCATCAATAAAGCTCTGATGGTAATGGTATAACACCAGATTGCATCAGCCTGAATTCTGATCGATGGTTCCCCACTAATTTCTCCTTTCTCATTAGTGTTGCAATTTAGTCTGAGGAAACATCTAGCAGGAAATCTGATCAGCAGTGATGATGGGCTGAGTCTAAGAAAGGTAGGAAACCGGGTTATTTCACATGCATACACTCTCACTCTGCTTCTTTGGTCCAGACCATTTCTCCATGCTTTCCTTTCAAAGGAATAGCATCCCTGTCACCGCACTTGCCCAGTCCTGAAGAGTACTTGGGACACCTTTTCTCGAATGTGTTTGTTTTTCATAGTGTAGACGATGGGGTTTAGCATAGGTGGCAAGAGCACATAGAGATTGGCCAACAGGATGTGAACATGGTGGGGGATGTTGCGGCCAAACCGATGAGTGAAAAATGAGAAAAATGCTGGTGTGTAGAAAATTAATATAACGCAGGCATGAGAGCTGCAGGTGCCAACTGCCTTGAGCTGGGCATCCTTGGATGAGAGCCTGAAGACAGCCCGGAGGATGAGGACGTACGATACCCCAATGAGCACAACGTCCACACCTGGGGACAGAAGGGTGGTGGCAAGGCCGTACCAGATGTTAACAGATATGTCGGCACAGGCCAGCCGTGCGATGCCCATGTGCTCGCAGTAGGTGTGCGGCATGATGCTGTGTCTGCAGTATGGCAGCCTCTGAAGGAGGAATATTGTTGGGAACATCACACAAAAGCTCCTGGCTATTGCAGCCAGCCCTATCCTGGCTATCACTGAGTGCGTGAACACTGTGGCATATCGCAGGGGGTTGCAGATGGCCACGTACCGGTCAAATGCCATGGCCAGCAGAATGGTTGACTCTGCAATGAAGCTCAGGTGTGTGAAGAACATCTGGGTAAGGCAGGCATGGAAAGAAATCTCCTTGGAAAGGGACCAGAATACGCTCAGGGCTTTGGGCACTGTGGAGGAGGATAATACGAGATCTGCCATGGCTAACATGGCCAGGAAGAGGTAAATAGGCTCGTGGAGGCTTCGCTCTGTCACAATGACAAATAAGAGGATGAAGTTGCCAAGGAGCGCCGCGATGTACATCAGGCAGAATGGGATGGAGAGCCAGGTGTGCAGGTCCTCCAGGCCTGCCATGCCCAGCAGAAGGAAGGAGGCAGGCTGTAAGCTGGTTTGATTGAGAGCCGCCATGGTGGGATGATATCTGAATTAGTTTGGGCTCCCTTCCCTGTAAGTGAAAATAGGGGAAGAGGTGGGGAGCACAGTTCATAATACAGAAAAACACACCTGAGTTTCCCTAGAGCACTTTATTTCTCCGGATCCCAAAGTGTTTTAAAAAATCACTCCCCTACTCATCGGGGAAGTGTGCTTGAGATACTGACTCCAAATCAAGTAATAAATTAAATTTAAAAGTGTATTTCTTAGACTCAGATATTGAAATCCAGAAAAAGGATTTACCAAAGTTCACAAGCTTGGCAAAGGACCCAGGAATCCGGCCCCTCCAGCTCCAACTGCTGTTATTTATTGTGCTTTTATTCTGTAGCACCCAAAAGCATATGAGGCAGGCGACAAGTTGGGACTGACTGACACTGATTTTATACAACATGCTATTTCTTTCAGTACCCACCTCACCTCTCTCCTCACTCATTCACAGCACATTTCGCATGATGACGGACTAGGATCCCTGCAAGGCAGGGAAGGCTCGCACAGCATCCAGGGCAACAAGGCTGTTTACTGATGGCTGCATCGCATCAATATGACAGGATGAACCACGAACCTGTGCAGAACAAAGCAGAGTGGAAGATCAGCACCCCACAGAGTACGTGATCTCAAGGAACGACTGTGTGCTGGGGAGGCAGAACAGCCGCTGAATTTTAAAGCAAATTTAGAAGGAAAGGTCTAAGGCAGAGCATAGCTGTTGATAGGCAAGCTGTGCAATCCTGGCACAGAGTTTACACAGAGGAGCTCAGGATCCTCAGTGTTTGCTCATGTCAGAGCCCAAGGATCGCCCCACTGCATAATGGGGTGCGGGGGCATTTGCACCACAGCTGGGTGAAATACAACCCAGCAGCGCTGCCCTAGTGTAATCTGCCCCACACTGTGTCACATCTTCCTATTCTGGTCTCAGCTGGCCACATCTGCCACCAGATGTGCACCGGACGAGCCCAAATCCTCCCATGACCCAACATGCACAGGGTTTGTGCGTGCGGAGTCCTCTCTCTGCACGTCAGGGACTGCTGCAGCTTTTCTGCTTGGTGCTACCTTGGGACTTTTGTCTCTGCTTACCCTTCCTCTGCAAGTTGCTCAGCCCTACCCAGATGGTGATTTGCAGTATTTCCAGAGAAATAACAAAGCCACCTGTGAGGGCAGCATCAGCCAAACTAGTTGAAATGTGAAGAAGAGCCATGAACCCTTCACAGAAAATGGGTGGTCAGGGCTAGGTCTCCGGCTGCTTTGACTGGCAATAACCTGTCTGGTGATGATAGCGGAAACATTTGCTGATAGCCTTCTGCTTCTTCGAATGCATGAAAGGCATGAAAGGCAGCATGAGGTCATCAGGTAGATATCAGCTTTTTAGAACCAGGCTGTGATGTCCTGCATGAAATGTTGATTCAGGTGGAGCCTGGGAAACTCTCCTGCAGGTAGCTGCTGCAGGTAGCACACCCTTCAGGTCAGAGAAGGACCCTGGAGCCAAAGTAGCAGTATTTACATGACAAAACCTGCCTGGAAAATGGTGTTTCTCATCTCAGAGCCTAAAACTGCAGATGGGAGTGGTCCAGGGGAGTTTCTCCCAACTGCAGAATTTTATCTTCTAGTTCAAATCAGGTACCTCAGCCACAGAGACCTGCCAAATGACAGCTACTGCAAATAACTCACCAGCTCCCGTGACAGCCAGGAATGAGGATATCTGCCTCTGAACCTGAGGGGACACCTGCAGAGAGGGGCAGGGAGGTGGCAATATTTATACACTCCCCCTGAGTCCCCATGGGGCTCACAATGCAGCTGGGAGCAGCAGAGCTCAGGTCTATGCTGCTTGGACAGATGTGATGGAAAGTATACAAAACTAATGGGGTTTCGAGTGGAACTCCTTCAATGTGAGCTGCCTGGTGAGAGATTTCCTTTCATTGCTTCCACAGATTATGGCATGGGACGGAGCACACAAAGCCTTCAGAGTGCTGTATCATCTCCTTCACGGGGGGGGGTTGGGATGAGGTGGGATGGCTGAAGACATGTGGATGAATGATGCTGACCTCCTCCAGCCAGCCCTACCGAGATGACACAGGATCTGCTGCGATCACTGCCTCTAGCCTTGCTCTGCCTGCCTCCGTGGGTGTTCAAGCGCTGCTGCTTCAAGCACCAGTGTGATTAATACAATACATGTGTCTGCTCTCTGCAGCAGGCTTTCATTGCCATTCCTGGTCTGAATGCTCAGCATTGGCTTGTACTCTGTGAGGACTCTCTTTGGGGGCATAAAAAGAAAATCCAATATTAACAAAGAGTGGGAATGGTCAACAAGTGGGTGAGCAGAAAGAGGTTGTGGGGAAATGGAAACTAATAAAAGTAAGAAGGAAGTCAAACTTGGGTAGCTTAAATTAAGCACTAAATCTAGACTTAGTTGCTGAAGTAAAACCAGACAGATTGACTTTAGCCAGATATTTTCTTTTTCAGACATTTTCTTTTTCCTTTCTTCTTCCTTCCTTTCTTTTTTTCCTTTTCTTTCTCAGGAAAATTGTGACCTGACATCTTGGGAATCAACATTTCAAGATTAGATTTTCAAGCCCCCAAAATTGGGATATTTGCAAAAAGTCATTGTCACCAGCTGTTGGCATGTGCATGCCTTATGGCTGTCCAACCCCAGCACAGATATTGTAGCACATAACCCCTGGCTCAGATTGACTCTAGTGTAAGAATGCATGGTTGTAATTAAATAAGGTCCTCAAGCCTCAGTGACCCACTTGACATATCTGTGGCATAGGCAGACTAATGCTTTCTAATGCCTGAAAATCCATTTTACACTGGTAAAGCTGGAATTATCTATGTCCCACACCTAATTTGGGTATCCTTCCCTGTGGGTGAGTCAGTGGCACATAGCTCTCACGGGGTCTCAGCATGGGGGACTGATCTCACCTCATTTCTCTCTCTCACCCTGCATGCAGGGACCAGGACCTAGAGCAGTCCCAAACACGTCAGGTTTTGGCATTGCCCAGCAGCTTTCAGGGGTTCCTCTCTCCTGTCCCACGCTGGTGGCAAGCTACGGCTCAGGTTTGAAAAGCAGGCATGGGGTTTAAGTTCCTCAGCTTTTGGATTTTCAACCTAAAAGTCTCAAAATCAAAGCACAGCCACCTTTTGAGTGCAGCAGCCATATTCAGGGGTGTGTGTGGTGTGCAGGTCTCTGTGCACATCATCCTTTCTCTGACAGAGGCTTAATTGAGGCTCCTCTGCAAAATGCCTTCAGTAAGCCACTCAGGTGAGGACCCTCTTATGGAGACTTTACTTCTGGACTGTCTCCCTGCTTCAGAAAAAGGAGGAAAATGAGAAAAGGAAAAAGAAAAGGAGAAAAAACCTTTCTGTGAAGGTCCTGGCATGGGACAAAGAACCTATGGGGTGCATCTGGCATGGGGTAACCTGTGTGACCCCATGGATTTGCTTTCTCATTTGTGGTCTCCAAAGCAGAGATATGCCCCCCTCCTTGCTTACATGAGGAGCTCCCCACCGTGGGCTGAGGCCACCGGGGCCTGGGGGCGGCAGGGATCGGGAGCATCCCGCCTCCCGCCTCCCGCCCCGCAGCACCCAGCAGAGGGAAGCAACGAGCCGCACTCTGCCCGCCCGCAGCCTCCCGGGGGTACCCAGCCTGAGCTATGGCAGATCCCCCGGGGAAAGGGGAGTGGGAGTTTGCGGGATCCTGGCTTCACACATCCCCAGTGCTGCTGCCAACGCTCTTGGTTAGCAAGACGGTGTCTTGCTCTGGCCACGCTGATGCCTCTGGGCTCCCAAGCTGCGATGGAAGGACTTGCTCTGGGGCAGCGGAGCTCAGCTCAGCCTGCACCAACATGGGAGTGCTGCAAGGAGCTAGTCCAAGCGCTGTCTAACCCAGCAGCCTGGCCACCAGCAGATCCCTGGGGAAGAGTTTAAGCAGAAGGCAAACATGCTGTGGCACTCCTCAACGCAGAAGAGCACGGGGGCTCCTCAGCCAGGGAGGGTATTTTGGTATCAAAGGATTGCTCTCCTGTGAATTTATCTTGCTGCTTTTTGAGCTTGTAGAAACCTTTGCCTTCCACAACATGCTGCAGAGCTCTTCCCCGAGGGAGAGAGTCTGAGGACAGCTCCGAGGTTGAGGACAGCGGGTCTCACCCATGAGCAAGGCTCTGCCAAGCAGCTCTTGGGCGAAGGTTGTCTGATCGAAGCTCTCGCCAGAACAACCCACAACTTCAATACTGGAAGAAGCAGAATTACTGGTCTCCAGGGTCCTTAGTTGGGGCTTGTCATTTCATTATACATAGGAGGATGCATATATGTGTCTTCATGGGTTATATAGATGTATGCCAAGGGGTTTGAGCCTGGAAAGGCTGGGAGAATCCACTGGACCACTTTTTTAAATATTTACAGTTCCCAGTAACAGTGCTCCCAAGGACATGTTGATCTTACTTGTTACAGTGCAGGGTGCACAGTCCATAACAAACACTGGCAGAAAACATGGAAACAGTTCTTAAATGTTTAAATTGCTTCAAAATGTCCTTCCAAGGGCAGTCAGTTTATACAGTGCCTGCACCTCTGGGTCAGCTGGAAGAGAACAGCTCCTTTTGAAACAGCGCTACCCCATCAGCCTAAGGGGGAAGAAATCAATCTTCTAAGTGTAAATGAGCCAGTCTGAGGAGGCGTTGTGCTGCAGTGCCTTATGGAAACTCCAGCATACTAATTAGTGCATGCTAATTCAGGAATGATAGTTATTTCAAGAAATCTGGTGTTGTAGCCTAACCCAGGCAAAATGCTCCAGGTGAAACAAAGAAAATTCTAGGGAGGCAAGCACTTGTGTTTTAAAGAGAAAACAATACTGTTGGTTAACATCTGAGAGTCCAAAAGCCATTGCTTGATATAAAGGGTTCCCCTTGCAGACCTGTGGGGGGCTGCTTCTATTATCAGCCCCTGTTTGGGACGCCAGTCCAGCTGTGCCTGTAGAGGGTGAACCTTGCCAGACCTGGCCCGCTCTGCTCCTGATCGCCCTCATCCTCCACCTCATATACAATGGACCAAGTCCGAATATCCAGTGACTAGCCTGGTCTCCCTGGGACCACAGACGGTCCCAGGTGGCCAAAAGGACCGTCACAGAGAGCAGTGCCTGCCTTGGCACCCACACCAACACCAGCAGTGCTCACATAGACATGACCACATTCTTCCTCGATGGCTGGTCAGGACAGGACATGACCCTCGCCCGCTTGGTTCACAGTCACTCTTGTGTCCGTGGGTCCCTCGAACCCTGGAGCAGACCAGAAGCCTGTCCAGATCCATGCCCAGACCCTCGCCCGCTTGGTTCACAGTCACTCAAATGCCCAGACCCTGGGCCCCGTTTGTCCACTCTCCAGATCCAGCCTTGGGTCTTTCTGGCTTCTGGTCTCCTCCCATGCATCAGTTAGTCCAGCTTGTTGTTTGTCACCAAATCCCACGTGTGTACCCCTGTACACAGACAGTAAGGTCACTCAGAAAAGAGCCAGAAGTGAGTTTAATGAGCAGACAGGACAGGCTGTGGTGATCAGGTGCATGGCCTGGAGAGTGCATTGACCAGCAACTTGTTTACGCTCCATCAGCCCCTTTACCAGTCCCGCTCCATTTTCCTGTGCTGGTTCCTTCCCAATCTACCCGGATCCCTCCCTTCCCTCCCCTTTGGTCCTTCTCCTAAACATCCCATAATACATTTTGCACATTCCCACAAGTCCCTTAAATCATCCCATATAAAGTTTTACACAAGCCCCATCGAATATCCAGCACTAAGTCTGCTCTTTCACAGGGGACCCTGATGACAGGATCCCGTCTTTTGCCTCTGTTTATTTGTTGAAGAGCCATTAACCAGATATCCTTACAAACCATGGCACTTACATTGCAGGTATCTACGTATCCTTTACCTTCCATATACCTTTTACCTTCTTTATATCCTTACTTGCCACATATCCTTACATCGGCAGAAGTTTGGCATGTTCCCCTCTCCTGGCTGGTCTTCTTGGGGGTTGAACCTTGCATAAGACAGTTGGCAGTGACCATCATATTGGCTTTACTGGAAAATGGCAACCCTGGACTTGCGGACCCCTTTGGCAGAGCACGCTCAGTATCCATCTCCGTATCGTTTTGGTTTTCATGCTGTAAATGGTAGGATTCAGGATGGGTGGGTCAAGGAAATGGATGTTGGCTGTGAAAGCATAGGCCTGGGGGGACACATGTTTGCCAAACTGGTGCATCGTGGACAGGCAGATCATGGGGATAAAGAAGAGGAGGACAGCACAGATATGTGAGATGCAGGTGTTGAGGGCTTTGAGATGCTCCCTCCAAGTTGCAATGTTCAGGATGGTCTTAAGGATGAGAAGATAGGACAGGAGGACAAAGAGCAAGTCCAAATCTAGTGTGGAGAGTAGCACAAAAAGGCCATAGGTATTGTTAATCCTCATATCTGAGCCTGCATGTTTGATGATGTCTGGATGCAAACAGTAGGGATGGGAGAGCTTGCTGACCCTGGTGAAACACAGCTGGGTCAGCAGGATTGGGAGTGGGAACTGGACAAGGGCGGTCCTCACGATGATTGCCACACATATCTTGATGGTCACTGAATTGGTGAGGATGGAGGAATATCATAGGGGGTGGCAGATGGCCACGTAGCAATCGAACGCCATCGCCAGAATGACAGCAGATTCAATATCCGTGAAGGAGTGAACGAAGAACATTTGGGCAAGGCAGGTGCCAAAGCTGATCTCTCTGCCCTCCAGCCACAGCATCTTCAGCATGGTTGGGAATGTGGAGGTGGACAAGCCCAGGTCGGCCCCAGCTAGCATAGCAAGGACTAGGTACATGGGCGCGTGGAGGCTCCGCTCTGCCCTAATGATGGAAAGGATAGTCAAGTTCCCCAGCAGTGCCAGGAGGTACGTAGAGCAGAGAGGAACAGCAGACCACATCTGAGTGGTTTCCCATGCTGGAAAGCCAGCCAAAAAGAATGATAGGGTCCTGGTCTGGCTGCTGTTGGTCCTGGGTGGGATGAAACAAGGATGCTCCATCTCATCCCTGAATAGCTGCCCTGGAACGAAAGCCAGCAGGATCACAAGCCACACACAAGCAGTAAGAAATAGGAATAGTCCAGAAGCCCTTCAGTCTGAAGCCTTGGATCAGAGGCATCACCATGACCAGCAAAGCCGTGCTACAGCAAAGCTTACCTGGAGCTGTACTGAAACAGTCTGAGTGTGCTCACCTCCCCCTGCATGCACACTCTGACACAGAAACCATGCACAGACAGAAAACACGTGTATGTGTTGCATGCCCAATGTACACAGGGTCTAGCTCTGGCTGCCTGGTATAGCAGGAGAATGAACAATTTTTTTAAAAAAAAATGTCCATCCGGGCTTGTGTAAATGCAAATTGAGAGAGGGAAGTGACATTGCAGTTAGAGAGGGCTGGTCTTGAATTTTGAGCTTTGCTGGGAATCTCTGGTGAAAGAAGAGGCGCTGATAATGGATCAGATACTGGTCTGCCTGTGGAAATATAGCACCTTTCTTAGGAATGGAGACGGGTAGAGCCTGGCCCTTTTAGACCGACAAAACACAGGCCATCTACAAACACATGGAGGGAAAAAGATCTACTTAAGCTGAAGGATAGTGATTACTCACAAAGCAACATGTGTAAATTATACACAGATAAAGGTAAGCTGCAAATTACAAGGACATCGTATCAAAGCAGGATGTCTCTGGACATCCTCCCACTAGAAATACAGGGAGGAGATGCATCTGCTTTTACAGAAAGTTTTCTTTCTGCAAACTCATGCTGCCTCATGCTGCCAGGAAGGATGGGGACAGGATTCAAGGGCTGTAATCTCTAGAGTCCTTTCCCCACGGTACTTGCAGGCTTCACTGCATGCCTAACTTTGGTCCTCACGCCCGTCTTTGAAGGACCATCTACCACAGGGTATCCACCTGTAAGTCTAGAAAAGTATTTGAAACAACTTAAATAACTGTAAAACCATTACATTTTAAAAAATCTATCTATCCATTCAGAAAATTGCAGAAATATTGCCGTTCTTTCCTCAAATTTATAAGGCTTCTATTCCACAGCACCTCTCTGCCCTTCCCTGTCTCAGTGTACAGGTTTCAGGCCCAATGGATAACTCCAAAGACAGAACAAGTTCCATGGATTGATCTGGGCTTGCACAAAGCTATAGATTTTAAGGTGTGGGAGTTTTCTCTAGTCCCCAACAGAAACTTATCAAAGATCATCCCCCGCATTACATGGAGGGGAAGGAGGAGGACTTACTGGAGAAAGTTATCTTCAGACACAAACATCTGACAGGATCGGTTAAAGCATCCATAATTCCCAGTTCAGTCTCCACCCTGAGAGTACAGGATCTGTCAGAGGTAATTTTTAATTAAAAAATTAATTAAAAAATTAATTGCCCTAAATTGCTGGTATGCCTGATCTCTTCCTCCAGAGGTCTGACAGTGCTTTACACTGTGCTAGATGGATGCTGCATCAGTTGCATGCATGAAGACCTGGGGAACCTCCTTGTCTCATCCACATTTTATGCAACAAAACAGCACACTTCCACTGCAGCATGCACTGGAGCAAGGGAGCACCATGATTTTAAGCAGGCAGAGCTTGCTGGGACTGTGCTGGCAGGAGGGAAGAGGAGACTCCTACTCCCCCTCAGCAGCCAGGGTGCATTTTCAGCACCTCAGCAGAAACAAGACCCTCCCGAATTTGAGATCGGGTGCATCCCATCTCACACATGTCACAGCCTGTCAGGAAGAGCCTAAGCACAAGAGAAAGGTGAATCCTTTAGGTTGCTTTTCTAAGTGATGACTCATTTTAACTCCTACAGTTTGATGTACTCCAAAAAATGACAAATTCCACAGATGTACCCCAGGATTTCACTGAGACTGGGTGTCCTCACAAAGCTGTGAGTGGAAAAGGGGCTGCACCCTGCTTTAGCATAAACAGTGGTTCTCTGAATGGATGCAGGGCTGCCTATCCCCCTTTGCAGGCAGTGAAACATGAGAGTTTGGGGTCTCTGAGAGCTCTCCCATCTCCGTGCCAGCCCTCTGGAAAGGGGACAGAGCACAGCTCCTTGGAGCAACACCCACCTCGGGTAGCTGAAATGAGCTGGCCCATAGGAGGGTGACAGGGGTGTTTGCAGGTGCAGGCATCATGGACCCTGTCCACATCTGGGAGCAGTCAGCACCCAGCTGAGCCCTCGTCAGTGGCACAATGCAATCTTCCACGACAGAGCGAAGAGCCCACTCTCCTGCCTTGCTCACAACCGCCTTGAGCTTCCCACCAGCTCCGCTGCAAGGAAGCAGCCTGCTCCTGACCATCAGGGCTCACAGCAGCAGAGGATTTATAGAGGACCCTGAGCAACCCCCCTGTGGGAGAGGGCTGGCCTGGGAGCATGAGGGTTTTTGGTTTCTCAGCGCTCAGAGAAGATGCATTAACTCCCACAGCACCAGGTCCACCCTGGCATGCAATGCAGCTCTGCACTGCGCCATCGGTCCCTGCTGATGGCAGCACGGGATGCACCCTGGAGACACCTTCCAGAGATGCGCTCCTCCTCCCGGCCTCCCCCTCCCCGGAGAGTCAGGCCAGGTGTGGTTTGGGTAGAGGAGCTCCTGCTCTGTGGCAGGGTGATGGATAGATGAGTCCTCAAGGTTTTTCCCAGCCCCACTTCAGTTCTGTGGATGTGGAAGGAAACCCTGCAACAGGTCTCTGGTCTCTGGAGCAGACCAGAGCTATGTGGTCTTGTGTCCTGTCCCCAAAAGTGGCCTTAGGCAGATGCCAAGAGAATATAAGAACAGGGCAAGCATACTTAGTAATTCCTCAAGCACCTTTCCAGCCCTCAGCAGTTTGTGGTCTAGGGGATTCCTGAGCCAGAACTGGTTCATATATACATAATAGCTCAGGAAGGACTTTTTCTTCCTCTAAAGGTTCACTTGAATTTGAATTTTGGTAACTGCAACACATAATGGCAAGAAGATCTAGAGCCACCACTTTATGCTTGTTCTGAACACGCTTCTTTGGAGGGCTCCTAATTCATGTATTGGAAAAGACAGTGTACACTTCATCCCTGCCACCCATTCAAAGGTGACTTATGCTGACACAACCGAAAGCAGTGTCCATGGTGTGACAGCTGCCTTCCTGACCGGTGCTGCGTGCTATCTTCAATGTCAGGTCATACATCTTGGTTCTCCAAGATGTGTTGAGTTTGCCTTCCGGGAACACCTGTCTCAAGCTCTTTGGTCCCTGTGGGACCCACATCTGCATGGTCCCACATCTGCATCTCTGCCTTCTTCCACCTTCCAGCTTTCTTCTTCTTCACCCACTGTTTCAGGACCACTTGTCTGCCACCCTGTCCATGTCCTGCTGGCCAGCCTGGACCACCCACACCATAAGCCTCACTGGGTATGGGGTGAAGACCAAGGAGATGTGGGCATGGGTGTTTGGCTTGCTCTGTTAGAAGCAGCGCAGCCTGGAGCCCAGCACTGCTCTGGCAGGTGAGGCTGGATGAGCCTAGACTCAGCAGCCTTCCCCCCCGGCTGTCCCCAAAATACCTCCCTGAACATCCCAGCTCCCTCCAGCTGCCCTGGGTCACTCGAAGCTCCTGCGGTAACTCACCCTGCTTTTAGTCCTCCCATTGGGGTGCTTCGGGGTGGGGAGCATCGTGAGCCCTGAGTGCAGCCACTGGAGCGGTGAGAGAGAAACGGGATTCGAGTGGGCACTGTGAGATGGTCCTCAGGGATCAGGGCATGAGCGCACGCCTGGGTGACATGCTGAGTTCGGCTGGACCAAAAGAGATGCTCCAGGACATCCACCTCCATCCCCATCAGCTCTTTGTGGGTTTTCCCTGCACAGACCCCTTACTATGCCCTTATCATGTGACAGCAGACACTCTTGCAGTGTTGCAATTATACTTTAATTCAGAAGGTCAGCAGCATGTCTAGGTATGATTTAAATCTTGTCTCAGCCCTCAGAAAGGTTCTTGTGAGAGGCAGGAGGTTCATGGGGGTCTTCCTAAATCTTGGACTAGATTTTACCACAGCACTTGGTGCACCGATGGATGAAGCATTTTGAAAACAACATAATAATAAAATAAATGTCCTGGGTGGATTTCATCCAACTAGAGGAAATGATGAGAACAAAATGCTTTAATGGCCATTGTTAGTGAGGGGGAGAAATGGAATATTGAGTGCTGAACATTGTAGCTCAAGAGCCTCAGAGTGGATGAAGATGGTCAGATTTCAGTATCTAAAGTTATATTTATTACTGTATTCTTTGGGGCTTGTCTTTCCCCACTGGTAAAACACTAATGAAGAAACATGGTGCACAGGGATATAGTGAATGCATTTTTATTGCAAGGAGGAATTGCATTAGGGAAATGTTAACTTAAACATCTAAACCATTTGCGTTTGTGCAGTCATTTTGATGGAGGTTTGTTACCGCAGCCATCACAAACCCCTGGCTGACCGTGGGGAGCAAGCCAGGTTGGAGGCAGCAGCTGCAGCAGCTCTGCCACTGAGCACTGCGTTTGAGCTCTCCGAGACCATGAGACTGATCACAGCAGGTCCTGCCTGGAATGATGGCCCAGGAGTGGTGGCAGGTGCCTTATTTTCACGGTGAACTGAGATAAGCAGACCATGTTCCCATCCTGGATACCTGGGTGTAAATTCCACATGGCTACACACAAAAACCACAGTCCACATGGACCGTCAAGAGGGACGTTTGCTCACCGCTAGCTCAGGCACCAGCACCGACTCTTCACACGCCCCAGGGGACAGAAAGTGGTGTACAGCCCTTTCCTTCTGCCCTGACCCAGCACAGCCCATGCAGGTTGACTGCAGACTTGCTGCAGCACTGGTAACTTCTGCAGCAGGTTACTACATGGAGCCAGGATCTCATCCCAGTGCGTGGACCTTGCTCC